TGCTGATAACATTAACGTAAATTTTGGTGGAGAAGCTAGAAGAGGCATCAATAACGTTTTTACGAAACTTAACGAACATTTGAAGAAAAACAATATTGGAGTAGAGTGTGCAGCGCACATTCCATACCTATACTATTCAAACAGCATCTGACTTACTTCCAGTTCATGTTGAAAATATTTTTGCAAACATTTATTCGTATTTTTATATATATATTGTGCGTGTTGAAATTTTGACTAAATTGTAATTCTCATTTCATCCCATTTGTCCCGCTTTGTCTCAATAAAAATGTGGTCACTTTAGTCAAAGTATATATAAGTGTTCTTATATATTCTTTGTTGGGGTAACGCTTACTTGAGAAAAATATTCGTATGTATTTGAAAAGATTTTCTGCGGGAAATAACTATTGAATTGCTGCAAAGGTAATTCAAAAATGATTTTTTAAGAAAGTTATTGTGAGTCTCGTAAAAGCTTTCTTCTTCAGTGCTATTTGACTCACTAAGAAATAAATTTTTCAACGAATTAGGGTAAAGATTTTAAATTATATTCCTCGTTACTCGGCAAAGATTAGAGAAACAGATGCGAAGCAACAGACACAAATAAACAGACATGATACCATGGAGACAAACGGAGCGAGATATTAATCTTGTGACCACCAGAGACTCGCATTATTAAAATTATCGGCGGGAGTATTTTAACAGAATACGATTCATAATGCGATACTAGTGGCTTGAAGGAGATTTCGCTATAAACATGCGCAGCAATCAACGTGTTAAGGGACTTGCCAGACTTCATAAACAAAGTAGGCGGCCCAAGAAATTGGAACTTGGAGGAATAGGGTTTGAAGCATTTGGCACAAATGGCCAAATTAAAATCAAATTAATTGTATATCCCCAGCAGTAGTTTATTAATAGAGAAAAATCATTTAATTAAATCCATAAAATAATTCGTTTTGCAGTGTAAAATCTTATTTTAAACATATAAAAAAATAAACAGAACATTAAATAACACTACAGCATCTTTTATGGAATGGTGGAGATATATACTTAAGAATTTGTCTTGGTTTTATTTTAAATTTAAAAGGAAAAAGCTTTTCTGTTATTGACGAGGATTGTTTTTACATAATAGAGAAAATAAATTGAACCTGGACTCAAAAATCATTCATGTATTTATAATTAAAATATTTTGGAGCATTGGATAATAATTAATGCAGCAAATTCCATTAAGGGGTAACACACCTTTATGAGTTAGCTACTTTTTCATTTTTGCAAAGCTCTAACAACAAGTTTTCGGGATTGGGAAAAAAATTTTATTTTCCCAGTATGAACTAATCCATGGTTTTATTGAAACGAAGTAATGAAGCATATAGCAGTGGTGTAAATAACATCCCCACGGTGCACTACCCAGAAATTTATACATTATATAACACTACACTTGTAACTCACCAGCTCTTGACGTACGGCCCGCGGTCGCACCTGAACATTAAAACAATAATAATAAACTAAACTATTATAAATAATTTTGAAAAATTCAAAAAAAGAAGAAGAAAAAAAAAATCGAAAATTTTGAATTGCGCATTTAAGTCTTAGACGCTCAAATCTAAATTAATTTAGATTTTAGATCGCTTTTTTTTCGGTGGTTATCTTCCTACGAATTTCCATAGTTTTAAAAATCCCAATGGTTTAAGCACGACATAATTATGATGCTTGAATTTCGAACTTTAGAAAAAACTTTTGAAATTCATAATTTGTGCCCATTTCATATTCAATCCAAAAGACTCGATCGTGCTTTAGAAGGCTATATTGTCTGATTTCCATGTACATGTGTTTCTTAAAATACTCTTTATATTTATTTGTTTCAATTTTATCGTAAATCCAAGCTGTTTCTCGCTCTTTTTTTTTTTTAATTCTGGTATTATGGTTTTTAAAATCCCGATATTTTTTAATGTGTACGACACTCGAATCGGGCGCTTTATTTGCGCTGATTTTATCGAAAAACTAAGAGATTATTATTATTATTATTTTTTACTCTTCTATCGTTCTTTCAACAGTTACTGCTACGCTTTTCCACAAGGTTTCAAAAATCCTGATTATTATTATTTTTTTTTTTTTTAATCCGGTGCTACAGCGACTTTCGAATCAGTCATTTTAATGATCACCTTAATTGACGTGCTTTATACCGTGCATTATTCTTGTCGTTTATAACAGTTGGGCTGAAAAGTTCGTAGGCTGACACATAGATGAGGCTACTATTCAGTTATAAATTTGACAGCTGTTGGACTAACAGTTTGTGAGATATAGTATTTTTAGTGAAGCAACTTTTGTTAGTTTAAAAACAATGGATAAAAACGAACTTTAATTGATGTGCTTTGTACCGTGCTTTATTCTTGTCGTCTATAACATACATGATGCTATTTTTAATTTTTTTTTTTTTCAATCTTGATATTTTTAATACAATATATTACAAAATATGATATTTGATTGCCGTTTTTTAAACTGCTTACTGCTTTTGAACTTTGTTTCTGATTTTTTGTTGCTTTAAAATTGGTTTTAAGATTTAACATTCATAAAATCTCTTATAATTCACTAAATATAAATGTCTTTAAGTTAAAAATATACTGAACTGAATTCCAACTGAATCTTAAATCTTATTTTGAGCTATAATGCGTTTGTTTTATTTTGAACAATATACAATTTCTTGAATTAAAACATTTAGTTTGCATTTATGTTGTTATAAAATATATATATATTTTTGCTTTAATTAAAAAACATTTCAGTTAATTTATTTTAAAATAAACTTTTGTTTTACGTTCCAATATAGTATTACGCTCCAATAACTAAGTTAGCCGGAAAAAAGAACAAAAATTAAGATAATAAAAAAAGAAAATTACTTAAAAGAATTTAATTTTATGCAAATATATCAGTAGTTGACGTAATAAAAGGAATTGTGTCTGAAACAATGATGCTTACAAAAAAAACACTGCATTGTAAAGGTTGTGCACCTCTGCATGAAGTACAATAAAAATAATTTTTTTTCTTTTATAAGAAATTTTTTAATTCAGTTAACAAATAAAAATAATTCTTAACTAAACTTTGAATATAATTATTGTAAGGTAGAAGTTATTTTCTCATATTTTAAAGATTAATTTCATTTCAGTGCAATAAGTCGGTAAATGTTCCATTATCGAACTTCTTTTTAATTTTCGACTTTAAATCGGGATTATTAATTAACATAGCAGTAATTTAAATTACATAAATTAAATTAAAATGAATGATTATAAATACCCGAATGTCTCTTCATTGTGTTCGTTTCATATTATAATTTTAAGAAAATTGTGTTAAGTTTAAGACGGAGCATTTTTATATCTTGCAGGGGTCGCACCTACGTACCTATAAGCCACAGGCATCTAGGAATGAAATAGGTTATTGGTTAGTTTAATAAATATTTTCTTTCCAGAAAGGGCATTTCTTGCTAATTGTGCGTGGCCGTAGAAATTAAGTTCTTTTACAGACGAGATAACCGNCTCTTTAGCCCTGGGTCGCACCTACGTACATATAAGCCACAGGCATCTAGGAATGAAATAGGTTATTGGTTAGCTTAATAAATATTTTTTTTCCAGAAAGGGCATTTCTTGCTAATTGTGCGTGGCCGTAGAAATTAAGTTCTTTTACAGACGAGATAACCGTGAACACTTTCGAAGTTTATTTTTTGCATGTAAGACAAATAAGCCTTCTAATATATAAGTTTCTCATGAAGGCGAGTTTTTCGCAATGTTTGATCCAAAAGTTACTTTCTTCTGTTGGGTTAAAAATTAGTAAGTTACTATATGAATCTATATGGATATTATTATGTAGATTTTCTGTTCAAAGTAGGTATATTCTCCATCCAACAAATAAAAAATTAAGGAGTTTGTACCTAGGTAGTTTGCACGCAAATTAAGTTTGAATTCATTGGGTAAGGGAGAAAAAAAATGAAAGTTAAATAATATTTTATTCAATACACTGTCATTTTATGAAAATACTTTAAAATACTATGATTAACAGAAGCTATACAGAAATAAATGGTCTTTGATGTTGAAGTTAGTCAAAGGAAAAATGAATAAATTTAAATATAAAAAGGAATGTGAAAAGGTTTTTCTTTATGTAAAATCGATTTTATAGCACATCCATGTAGCAATAATGCTAAATTACTACTACGCTTTTATTAACTGTTTTTCGTCTCTGTGAGGGGAGATGTTCCATTTGAAATTGGGACCACTTTCCAACTAGATAGAGCGATTAAATTTCAACCAGAGTTTTGTGATTGATGCTTTACTACCTTACTAAATGTTTTTTACCATGGTGTTTTCAAAATTAAGCTTTATTTTGTCAAAAATTGAAATTTTAATTACTTTTCTACATGAACAAAATAAATAAATAAAAAAAAAAAATTATAAGCTTCTGTTCAGCAAAATCATACCAATATCTGAGTTTAGCACATGCATAACAAATTTTTATTAAGAAAATGTGGTTTTAGAGTAAGACTTCGCAACAATCATCCTAATAAGCAGAATAAATAAATAAATCAGGCTTTACATAGGAATTGGTTCGATTGTCAAGACATTATTTTCAGTTGTTTTTTAACGGTTTATATCCAATCCTCGGTCTTATTGATGCGAGATCCCGTCGAATCAAGTTTATTTTAAAGGAGGTTATAAATTAGAAATTAAAATACGATCCGTAATAGTCTAAAATTACATTTTAATTATTCTTTATCAAGGCCTCCGTAGATTCAACACATGCCTCATAGTCGCCACTTTTTTGGTTGTATTACTATTATGTTTTCCAATCGTTTAAGCTACTCATTAGTTACAACTGATTAAGGCAGAGCCTGCAATTTAATTAAGGCCAGGGAAAGTCCAATTCATGACTGAAATTAATAAGATTTTTGTCTTTTTTGTAAAAAAGTGTCATTTTTCAGAAAATAACCCCAAAATGCTTATTTTTTATGTAATACGAAATGGCAACAGTCAAAGTATATTTTCGTTACTTCAGATTTTAAAGAAAGCGCAAAAGTTGATGGAAACTTTTGAAGCAAAATTTGATATCGTGAATTTTTAGGATAATTTTTATTAAGTTCTGTTCTTCATGACGGGGATTGTTGCTATAAAATTCCTGAAACTGGTTGATTAAGTATCTGCTCCAGAATGGTTTTGTCCGAGAGAGGAGTTCAAGATATTAGAAGTGGTAGGAGATCCAGAGCTGCGAGTCCTAATAGTCATAATTCGGATGAAAGTAGTAACACTGATGAATCTGAATATTGTAAGTATGGCATTTTAAAGACTTACATCGTTTTGAGTAACATAATAAATCTTGTAGCTAAATTTAATGATGTCCTACTAAATCTACGTATGCCTCCGCTCTAAGAATATTAGTAACCTTGGAGAACAACCAATTTATATTCTGTCTACATTAACGTCTGTGGTATGTTTATAATAATCTGCTAGTTTAGCAAGTATTAAATTTTTTCTCTATTTGAGGCTGTTAATTTCATTAGCATACTATGTAATTATAATTATACGGAGGCTTCAAATAGTAAGTTCCAAAAATAAGTTCTAAACACTTGCGGCCATCATACCACATATATTTAAAGCTGTCATATGTCTCAATGCTTTTTCTTGCTATAGGTCAAAAGTAAGTTAAATGACATTTTTTAAAATTAAATCGCTAATTAAGTTTACCAATTTAAAAATTTCTAGTCTTATTATCCCCCTACAAACCTGTTACTGAACTAGAGTGGTAATTTAAAAGCACGAAAAATATCCCCTTGTTTTTTATAAGTGTTAGAATGAATAGTAACAGAGAGTAGTGTGAATGTTATTGTTTTTAAAATTTGTTTTATTTGAACTTCAAATAATATATTTTTTTTGGTCGAATACCGATTGATGTAAAAATGAATGTTCAATAATTTATAAAAGTAAATTTTCTTGATTAAATTAGAAGTATTTCATAAAATTTGAAAAATACTGCAAAAAATATATAAATAATTATAACACATGTATTTTACCTATATCTCGAATTTTGATTAGTTAAATTTAATTGTTCTTAATATTCATTAACAACTATTATATGGTATAGATTCATATTCAAATGTGCGCTTGAAGAGAATAGAAAAATAACAAAAAGTTTATTTGAATGGTAGGTATAATTTGCTCATTTTCATTGAACTGTTATAAATCCTAGCTTGTCTCATAGTGCTAGTAGTGGTTTTAGTAGTTCTAGAATCCTTTGAGGTGTGCAAAATATTGATCAGCAGATTCAAACTTTGATGTAAGAAACAAACCATGATAATTGTAATAAAAAATGAGTAAAATAGTAATTACTACTGTGAAGGGAGAACACTTCTGTATGTCTAAATAACTTACCTGTGTCTAAATAACGTACCTATGTCTAAATATCCATCTTCTGGTTAGTGGCACAAAAGGAGCTAAAAATAATAGATTATAAAAAAAAAATGCGACAGGGGGCCGATTAAAAGGGTATCTTAACTCCTGGTCACTTATGGGCAAACAATTACATTTTATTTTAAAAACTATTGTGCTATTTCAAAACTCTTTTGGCACCTTAGCTATTATGGTTGGCACAAACAGGTACTAATGTGGAATTCCCTCGTGAATGATTTGTAGATTTAAAAAAAAAAAAAATTATTTTTTTGATGTGAGCGCATTATATGAATACATTACAAAATGAATCTTCAATCTCTATAAGTTAAGTCTTTTTTTTTCTTCCTCGTTAAATACATTTTTGAGGGATTGTAAGAGAAGGTTTTCATTAGGGCTAATTTTAAACAATAAAAAAATATGTTTGTGATGTTATTCCAAAAAGTTTTTTTACTGTATAATATCAGCTTTGTATCTTTACAAAGCTTTACACTGCTTTGTAATTTAAAATTCTGGGCAATTTTCCCACATAAAAAATTCATGCGGTTGTTTGAATGAATAATAAATCTATAACTAGTTGATATCTTTATAATTGTTATTTTTTTCTAGCTATGAAAGTTGGTGATGAATATCAAGCTTCAATTCCAGCATTGATTTCATCTGGTATGCTTATTTTATCTTTTGTTTTGCTAAATTTTAGTTGAAAAATATAAGAAAAGAAGAAAATGAAGTCAACTTGTAAAATATTTTCATTAAATAAAAATCAACTAATAAAATAATAATAAAAAAATAAATACTTGATTAGAAAATTAAAGTAGTTAATTAAAAAATTTAAATTGTGTATTAAATAATTAAAATTGTATATTAAATAATTAAAATTGTATATTAAATAATTAATATTGTAAATGGATGGATGTCAGCTGTTGAGACCTGTAAGTCTCTTTTATCCAAATATAAAGTTGTTTTAAAAATATGACTGTATTATCAAATTTGCTATCTGTAAATATTATAATGATAACAATATCAATATAAAATCAACTCATGAATTGTTTTTATTCAATAAAAATCAACTAACAAAAAATTCTTTTAATTTAATAAAAATTCAGTCAAAATTGAAATTATTAATTAAATAATTAAAATCGTACTTCGAATTGAGCTTGCAAGTCTTTTGCATACATTTTTCTGGTGTTGAATTGTTTAATAAAGAAGCTTTTTGTAGAATTGTTAAGTGTAACGAAAAATCATGGTTAAAAAGAGATTTTTTTTTCCCTTCAAAAAGGATTCAAAAGGATAAGATTTAAAAAAAAAAGAAAAAAAAAAAAAAAAAAAAANAAAAAAAAAAAAAAAAAAAAAAAAAAAACAGTTTAACTTTTGATCTAAATGTGTTTTATTATTGCATTTTTTGAATAATTTTATAAACTCTAAACATTGAGATGATGATGATGGCCTGTATTATTTATAGAATTTTTAGAGACATTATGACTTGACTTTAAATTTACTCAAATTATTTCATAATTATATTTTAGCAGAAGAGAATAATACGTAAGCTTTTTTAAAAAATACACATAACATTTATTCATTTAAAGTACCAAAGACTCTCATTTCTCAAAGATTAAAAAGGTTTTTATGGCAAAATTTACTATATTTATTTTAAGTTTATATGTATTTATGTAAATAATTAATTATTTATAAGACTTTTTTCTATTAAGAAAATCAAGATTGCATTTAAAAAAAAAATGGTTTAGTTTTAATCTAGTTAATTAAAAACAGCTGACTCTGCACAAAATAGATATAAATAAGACATTTTTATTTATTTCAGACATTAATGTAAAAAAGTGAAGAAAAGAACTTTTTTTCTTTCTTACAATCTTAAACACTAATGTGTATGAAGCAAATATGTGTGGCGACCATCTAAGTTGGCTAAGTTATCGTCTTCCAGAAAATAAAAATTCTTCTGTTGTTGGAAATCCTGTTGAACAAAAGATAATGCCTTTTGTTAACTGCTATCCTTTGGATCTTGTGCCAATGAATTCTACATTCAATCAATCAATTAAATGAAATCTATGATGTCACTGATTTTCCATCTTGACAGATTTCATAACGTAACATATGACAGAAAGTGACATTCAGGGTTATCAATGAAGTCAAAAGTTATTGCACTTCATTTTATTTTTTCCTTGCATCTTTCAAAAATTTCTTATGTTAAGGCAACTTGTTGGTTTTTAACTTACTAACTTGTTGGAGTTGAAATGCTAGTCAAAGTTTAGAACTTAGTGTGAGAATATAGAACTAATAAAAGACATATAAATTGATAACTTTATGATATTTCCGGTAAAAACCTAGTTTTATAATGTCTCAAAAAAAAACTTATTTCCCTGGTAAAAAAACTCAGCATTGCTCACAATAAGACTTTCATATCTCAAATTGGCAGATTTTGTTGTTTAGATTTTTCATTTAGCAATCTAGTAATTAGTCCAGCAATGAATTCTTTAAAAAAAAAAAATTATGATAAACGAAAAGTTGTAATAAAATCTAGTTTGATTGTAATTATCAGTTGTATTTACGTATGGAGTGCTTTTAGTTTCATTTTATTATGATACATAATGATCCAATTAGGTAAGTTAAAATTATTAAGCTTTTCATTTGTTTTATTATGATTTTAGGGCCGTGTCCTACTACAGAAGTGGAAAATGCCTTATTGGTATGGGCGCCATGTACAACTATTGATGACGAACGATGTAAGTTAGTTTTCTGAAATAGATAAGCTTTTAAATTACTTTGCTCACTCTTAAGTTTCGGATATTAATGTATTGAAATTTTTTTTAAAACTATTATTATTCTGATTGTATTCAGTTTAAAAAGTAGTTGCTATCAGTCCATTTCATGTTATTGGGTTCAATTATCAAAATCTGGGCTGAGAATATGATTACACAGTATTTTTTTCTGATTACAAAATCCAAATGGTTAATGTCTTATTTTAAACCATATGCAAAAGCATATAGAGAAAGTAACTCAAAGCATAAACCAATGCATGACTGCCTTGATTTAACCATGTATTACTGTTGAACTCTCTCATAACGAACGAAAAGGGGCCACACTATTTTTTTGTTTGTTTTCCAAGTACTCGTAAAATACATGCTTTCGTAAAAAAATCATAAAAGTTCATTTATACTTCCTAAATTATAATTATAGTACTTTATTTATTTTTCTTATTTCTGTACAATACGAGAGAAGTTAGATAATTTGCTTTGAACTGTTTTATTGTCTTTTTTTTGTTATAGTTCTTTGATTAAGACTCATTATCAAAATAATATTGTCATTTGCACTCCTGCTTTCAAAAAAAGATCCTGTGTTCGTTTGATTTGTCATTCATCACTAACTTTCAGTTGTCTTTGGAATGCTGAACAAATTTTTCTATGAACAAGAGAGGTGGAATCTATCTATATTCCACCTATTCTGGAATATAAATCTATATTCCACCTATCTACATTCTATATTTGAGCAAGAGAGGGGGAAGTAAGTAGAAATTTTATAAATTGCAAACATATTGTTTGCTAAAACCAGGATTCGCTCATTAAATATGACCTATTCTCTAATAGATTTAATGTATCAAACAAGTATTTCCAGTATTTTCATCAAATTCAGTTTCTTGTTAAATCAGTGCCCTTTATAAGAGAGTTCAACTTTATTATATATTATTATAATTTAGTATATGTCTTTATGTAAATAATTCTTAAAGCAGTATTGATTTATTTGAAATGTTGTACAAAATAAGATACTTTGCAATTAATTATGAAATTTAATTGTTTTCTGTAAAAAAAATAGCTGTATTATTTTTGTTAATGTGTTTATTTATGTTATGGCTAATAAAGTCTGCTGTCTTGTTTTATATTAGAAAATTAGTATTTATGTTTTTTATTGCATTATTCAACAGATACTTTTGTCTATCTCATTAGTATCAGTAACCTTTTTTTTTACAGTCTTAATAGTTTTGAAAAAACCGTAGTAAAACATTTTTTTTTACTGAAAATAATGACATTGCTTATGAATTTTATTTCTTTAAATAAGGAAAAGAAAATTAACTTTAACTGTTTGTAAAATACAAATAAAGGGTAACAAATTTTTTAAAATAGGATTCTTCATGCACAGTGGAATGTCCCATATCCACAGTCGTCGGGACTTCGATTAGTCCGGAAAATAGTTTTTCTGGAGAATAGGTCTTTAAGGTTAACAAATATCAAAACATCTTTATTCAATAAAAAGTAACAAAAAGACGGTAATTAATGTCAATTCCAATCAACAACTAATAAATCCACATGGTTGCGCTATTTTTGCAATTTTTGTTACAGATTTCCACACGGTTTTTAGAATCTCAATATTTTAATATGCCAAAATAAAATATATCGCAAATTCCACAGTGAATCCAAATGGCTTTGAAGATCGTTTTTCGGTAGTTATAAAAACGAATTTTGGCTTGGGGTTTTATAATTTCAATGTTTTAATAAGATATTATTTCCTTCAGCAAACTTTGAATTACGCATTTCACACTCAATTATTAATGATTCACCTGCATTCCCGCATGGATTTACGATTGCATTTTTGTCAGTTATTTTTACAGATATAGCTTTTTAATGATACATTATTATATATGGAAAATTTCGAATCTCACATTTATAGGATTACTTTTTGATGCACTCTCTTAGTGACAATTTTATTGTCTACCTGGTTTTGTCGGTTGCATTTTCAACAGTTTGGAATTTCCACATAGTTTTTAAAATTTTAATTTCATTTTTAATCTAAAATTACGGTCCTTAAATTATAGATTATCAGATTATAATGGACATTGGGTTAAAAGCAAACAAAAATTAGAAGTCTGGTAAAAATCATAAAGAAGCGGAAAAGTGGAGGATTCTCTTCGCTGCATGCTATTTTTTTAACAGGTCGCTATTGTCAAAATGTTTTTTACTTATTTATTTTGAAAAAGGAACTAAGATTTATTTATTTTGATTGTTATAAAGTATCCAAGAAAGAGACCCTTCTAGTAAACAGATGTGCAGATATGGGAATTTACTGTATTTTAATGTCATATGGCCAATGTCTTTAGTTTAACTTTTGTTCAGATAACTTCTAAATAGTAACTCTTTAAAAAAATGTCTTTTTTTTTTAATTAATCAGATCATAAATGATTTCTTAACTATAGCTCATTTTTTGTTTTAATTAATTAATCTATGAATTTTTCTTAATTTGTAAGTGGTAAAAAGTCATAGTTGAATTCAATGCTATAATGTTTAGTAATTTACTATCATACTGACTGATTGATTCTCTTTTTTTTTTAGTAGATAAATATATCAATGAAGCTAAAGAAAAATGTGGCTATAATGTGGAACAGGTATGCTTCACTATTTAACATGATTCCCCCCCCCCCCCCCNTTCCCCCCCCCCCATAAAAGTGCTTTTAATTCTTCAGAAGTTAAACTACATGTCTATTCTAGCTATGATCTGTGGAAAAGTTTTGTATGGTTTAGATGATTGTCTATTAATGTGTATTTCTGTGTAAATGATGCAGTGTCAAAACAGAACAAAAATAATTTTGACTAAGACATTTTACTTTTTTTTCCAGGAGCTTGATTGCCATATTCATTTTAAGAAGATGAGATCTTTTTTTTAATATTTAAAAATTTTTTTTCTCAATAAAATAGCTGTAGGTGGTATTCTTTAATATTTAGAATGGATCTTTTTTAATATTGGGGTTAAAGGTAGATTTTTAAATTTTATTTGTGGAAATAATTTTTTTGTCATCTAATTAAATCTTCAACTTGCATTCTCACAGTTGCAAAATAACAAATATAAAAAATCACACATATAACCTGTAACTGAGTAAATGTAAATTTTTTTAATTAGGCAGGGATTATTTTTTAAAATTGTTTTTTTCCTTCTTTTTTACTGGGTTTGGAGGTAATATACTTGCTATTCCACTCAAAATGGTGGTTTTTTCTTAATGTTAGATTTACATTCCTTTTTTGTCTGTATTATTTTTGTTTTGTTTTGTTTTACGAAAGGGGAATTATTCAGCCTTCATTAAGATGTAAATCTTTGTTCATGGAATTAAACATTTGCTGCTAAAAGTTAACACATTTCTGATCACTAAAATCACAGATAATTTTTTTTTAACAGTAAACATTTCTTAGAAATTATAGAACTGCAAATAAAAAGGAAAATATTATATTTTATTTTACTACCTACATTGCAAGTTTCTTGATTTTTATTAAATTTTAAGCGTGTATTTTTATTTCTGTTTTTTTTTTCCTTAGGCTCTTGGCATGTTGTTTTGGCACAAATATGATTTAGAAAAAGCAACCGCAGATCTCCAAAACTATACACCTCTTCCTGATGAATGGACTGTGGAAGACAAGGTTCATTTTGAGCAGGGCTTTCAATATCATGGAAAAAATTTCAATAGAATAAAGCAAATGGTAATAATATAATTTTTTTTTTTTAAAGAAAGTAATTGAAATTTTTTTTAAAAATATATTATTCTATGGATAATTTTTTTCAAAATATCTAATAATTTTTTTGATAATGTTTCACCATTCTACATGGTTCTTTTATTTGTAGCTGCCAGATAAGCCTCTCTCCAGTTTAATAAAGTATTATTACCTCTGGAAGAAAACCAGATCTCGCACGAGTTTAATGGATCGACAAGTACGCAAACTAGGTGCTCAAAAAGATGAAGGAAGGTATGTTTACTACATTCATAAGGTTTTTTTTGCTAAAAAGTTAATTATTTGGTCTTTTAAAATTATGGCAAAATGTTCAGTGATTTTTTGTGTTTTTGCTAAATTAAAAATTAATTTTCTGTATTATTTATTTTATATTTTGGGCTAAAATGACATAACTTTGTAATTTTTTCAGTGGTTCTGAAGCACCCTCAGACAATGAAAGTGATATGGATCAGGACAAAGATAATGTATGATTTTTTTATTATCAATTTGTCTCTGGGTGTGTTATAAAATTTATATTGTTATATTTGACCTTTTTTTCTTTTTTTTTTAGAAAGCTGAATCTTCCGGTAAAGGAAATTGTGCTAATTGCTTTGTGTCAGCTCAAGTGTATAATACTGCAAAAGGACTATTGTGCCAAGCTTGTATGCAGTATTTCAAGTGAGTGTAATAACACTGTTGTTGTATTCATTTTGGGAGACATACAACCTGCTTCCAGAGATTTAATACCTTAATATAAATACATCGTTTTTCTTCATTTCAAAAATACTTGATTATACTTTCATCTACTTTATGATGTCTGGCTTTTAATACAAGGCCCAGTGATATAACACTGAACAACATAAAAAATGTCTTTTAGGTGAAAATGTTTTTCTTCTAAATTTTTGACTAAAAGTAACAATTTCTGTATTTATTTATTTATTTATTTTTGTTTTCCGGGTATCATTTTCTCAGACATCCTTCTTTTAACTTGGCCACTTGATGCATTTTAAAAGCACATAAATACAACTTACTGTCAAAGGAAAGGTGATCTTATTGACCGAGGGACTGTTGCCAATTTAGCAAATTAGGTGATAATTTTTCGAAAAAAGCTTTATTTATCTTCTCAAAATTTTTAAGGCTCTTGGAAAGCAAGGTATTATAAAATTTAGTATAAGCTTAAAGTAATTTTTCTCCTACAAAACTTTACACAATGGGTTATTTTGATATATGAATCAAACCACATTTGCAGCAAAAAAACCTTATTTACTTTTTGGAGGTTTTGAGGCTCTAGATGCATTAGAAAGCAAGATGCTTCACAACTTTTCTCCTACTAAAGCAATGCATGATAGACCACATTAGTTTTGATATGTGAATCAAACACCCTTTGTTTGAAATCACACAGCTTCATCTAAAATCAAAAGGGGAAAAAAAAGTGTTCAAATTTATTGTACAGTGATAATTGATAAATTTTTTGAAAAACTGATCTCTCTAAATGTTGAGAAACCTTATTTCATGATTTGATGAACAACTTGTACAGTTGACTATTTCTCTTTCTATCTTTATTTTTTATTTCAAGTTAGGTAGGTATGCTTTTACCTGGTATGTTAAACCGCTGCTGCAGGGATTCATAATTTTTATTTTCTGTTTTATCTTTTAAACATGTAGAATTTTTTTTATTTCAAATTTTTTTAGTTTAGGTGGTGTGATAATGTTTATATTCAGGTTTTCTTTTTTAAAAATTCTTTTAGGCGGACTGGCACACTTCGTAGTTCTGGTACAATGAGAACAACATCTCGTCACAATCCAGCCAGAAGTAAGAAAAAGCCACCACGTGGTATGCATTTGAATTATGATGATTTAGTTGCTATAGTTACTAGCGCTAATGGTGAAGAAGATGCTATCTTACGGAGTATGGATTCTGAAATTATTTCTTTCAAGAGACAGGTAATTTGAAATATTTTTCTGTTTGCAAGCTAATATGTATGTATGTATGGATGGATATATACTGTACGTATGTATGTATGCAACATAAAAAGCTTCAATTCATCTTTTTATTTTATTTCTTTTCTGTAAATTTTTTTCTTTATTTATTATTCAAAATGAAACGATTTCTCACACTTTTAAATTCACATCCTGTCTATTAATCTGTTTTTTGTTCAAGTATGCACTAATTAAAAGACATTTTTCTCTTTGCTTTTTGTGGGAATTGTGCGACCTATTTAATAAAACAATTACAATTACTAAGATTTCCCTGAAACAAGACATTTTGCGGATTTTCTTTGCAAGATTTTCCCTAACTTTTATTAAGGAGCACAATGATTTTGTGTTACTCTCTCTCGTTTCCATCATCACATAATGATTAAATAAAATCAATTTGCTCTTTTTAAAATCCTGTGCCTGTTTGTTCTGCTCACACGACTGCCACCATTATATATTTATACATATATTTGTTGCCAGATAATTATTTTCTCTCACTCTTTTCTAGGTTCAAAATAATAAGCAAATGATATCTCAGCTTAAGCATAAAATGTCAGCTGGTATTGATATGTATCGCCCTCCAGAAGTAAGCATTTTACTCTTATTCTTTTATATTGTTAGCAATACACCTGAATTATTTAAATCTTCAATACCATTAATATCAATTGCAGAGTTGAAAAAAAAAAGAATTTTGGTTTAAAACAGATTTTTTCGGATAAAAATTTTTTTTTTTAAATTTTTTTATTTGAGCCTAAGGTTCCCGCAGCCCAGGGTTCCAGCAGCCTTGAAAAAACCTTAAAAAGTACTTGAATTTCATTTTGATTTTCAAAGGCCCCTAGAAGTTCTTGAAAATGATATTAAATCCTTGAAAAATTCAAAATGACCTTGAAAAGTATCGAAAACTCAGGAAAACAGCCCTAATTCCAGCATTTCTGTGTTTAACTTTTTGACGCACGTAAGTGTGAGAGAATGACTTTCCCGCCTTTCAGATGATGACACGTACTGTTTGATTTTAGGATTTTATGTATGTTTGGCTGATTTTAGGAATTTTAAATATTGGTAACTGCGCCTGATTCTGACAAAATCTCGATTCTTATTCAGGCAATTTTAATATCGATCTTCGTATTAAACTGATTTAAAAGCTATGTGTTGCGATTCGTTTTCGTGTGATTCAAAAATTGTACTTGCAATTCCCATTAAAGCAATTTAAAAAATCTAATATCACGATTTGTACTTAAGCGTTTTTAAACCCCAATATCGCAATTAGTTTTCCGCAAGTTTAAAATCCTATGTCGCTATTCGTATTCACGCATTTTGCAATATCAAACATCGATGTTGCAATATCAAACATCGAAGTTGTAATATCAAACATCGATTTTCGTATTTATACTCTATTTGAAAACTACTCGTTACGATTCGTGTTCATGCGACCATGTCAAGTGCATATGATCGACGCTACTGAAAAAAAATTAATTCAAGTATGAGTGGTTAATTAACTCAGTCAAAGTGACCAAAATTGTTAGTAAGAATCTATCAGAAGATATTGAGGTGAAAGTTGGCAACTGATTCAATTTAAAATGGTTGACCCGTAATAAATTTAAAATGATAATTAAGCCGCAACATCCAATAATTGATTAATTTTCCTTAATAGAAAAGTGGTCAAAATTTCAAAATTATATTTAATACAAAATTATATTTCACTGTCGAAATGCTTCTGCTACTTTAAATATTAAAAAAAAATCTCCCGGCAGAGTTTTTAAATATCTAATTGATATCACAGTATTATATAGAACATCCCCCCCGTCCTGCCCGAATTTTTGCTTATTCAGAGGTTGTATACCTAGCTTAAAATAGGCCTTGTGCAAAATTCAAGTCTGACGTTTTTATGAATCATGAATTTTATTCTTGACTTGATGCCAATCACCCTTGCTTTTTTTGTACTTAGATCACTTTCCGAAATCTAGAAAACAATGGAAGTCTTATTTTTCAGTACTGCTATTATCGTCACCTAACTATTATCGTCAAAACATTTTAGCTTAAAATGTAAAATTTTAGTCTATCTTTTACTAAAATTTAAGTCCTTGAGAATTTTATAATAAGTCTTAAAAAGTCCTTGAATTTTATTTCTTAAGTAGGGCATGAACCCTGTTATACTCAAAATTAAAAATGTTTAAGTCGTTATAAGTATATAAGCCATCATAAGTATATTCATAAAATTTTTCAGCTATTAATTAATGTTATCAATAATCAAGTAAAGTATATCTACTTTCATCCCATAGATATACTAACATAACAAAAAAGAATAACTGAAGATTTTGAATGTGCTAATACATTACTTAACATTTCAACTTAGCATGCAAATAAAAATTTAATATTAAAATATTATATCAGTAATGTGCAAAAGAATGAGTTCCCCTTTGTCNATGAGCAATTAAACTCAATATAAAAAAGATTTTTATGGGAAAATTTATTATTTTTTCGGTTATATTTAAACTAACAATATTTATGTAAACAATAGAAGCTTAAGTTGAAAGAATTTTCCTCTTAAAAAGACTTATAAGAAGACATATAAGACTTAAAAAGACTTTTAAGAAGAAAACACTTGGTTTAATCCACATTTTGAATCCGCCAACCCTGATTAAATCGTTTTTAATTTAGGCTGTTAGTTTTTAATTTCATATTTTAATACTGCTGGTCATGTAGCCGATGAGGAAGCTATTGGCCATGGTTTGAATCCCGCTCAGGGTCTGGATGTCTTTCTCTGTCCTTTGTTGTGTGAATGTGGCACACCTATGAGTTATCTTTGTCAGTATGTCGTGGTTAATGTTGCTTGTTTCTGTGACTTAAGTTCACAGATGCCTACCAGATAACATTAAATAAGCAGTTCATGCTCATTAGAGGCATCAGTACCAGTCATTAGAAGAAGGAAAAACTAATTTTATTATTTCTTATTAGGGCCTCTGTTTCCATGGTAAACTATTGCAAAATAGCATACATTCTATTGAAAAACATATATAAGGATTCTCATTTGTATTGCATTGCATTAGTTAGAATTGATGTAACATTATTTCTTATTAAGATTAAATAATAGTCTTCAAGAGGCATATAAGTTATGAAATGTTTAAACTAGGTATAATATCGCATGTAATTTTCTTTATTTTGCAGTTAGCGACAAAAAGAAGCGCTATTTTCAAGTCATTATTCCTTAAAGAAAATAAGTATTTTTACAAGCTTTCTAAATCAAGGAGATGAACAATTGCTGTTTTCAAAATTTAAAGTCTTATAAGTTTAATTTACTTTCTGGACTAAAAACAAGAGTCTGTTGTTAATTTAATGTCAAAATTTTTTGCTTTGTATGCATTTGTTTATTAATAAAGCTTCTTTCAATAAATTTTTATTTATTTTTAGGTTAATTAAGTTTTGATAAATTATTTTTAGCAGTAATTGTGCATAATTAGTTATATGTACTTAAAAAATTACGAGCATCAGACTTTAGAATCATGGCACGGATATTAGAGTGTTCGTCACCTAATATGGTGACTCAGGCTCAAATTCCAGTGGTGGCTGTTTGATAAGAATTTTGCTCCTGGCTTGTACAGACTACAGTGCTGACATAAAATATTTTTAGTGATAGACTAATCATAGGTTAGAAGACCTTTGCCATCAGACTAAACATGAGAAATTTTTGTGGATTTCTTCTCATGGTTTTGAATCCCCTTGCCAGAGTAACTGTGTGTGTGTGGGGGGGGGTTCATGGAATTCTACTCCATGCATTGCAAATGCGAGTTAGTCCCATAAAAAATACTTCCACAAAGGCTAGTTTAGTCTTAATACTTGATCCAGGAGTTCCCCTTTTTTCAGGGTTGGGTTCAAAATTACAGGGCTACAAAGTTGAGCATTGATAGTTGTAAATTCAGAATTGGCTTGGCTTAGTTAGGTTTTATGTAATGAACAATATTTATTACCTTGCAATGATTAACATGTTTTTTGATAACCTAGGCTTAAATAAGTCTTTAAAATTAAATTACACCAAGATTCCATATGCTAATTACTATCAATAGCATACTAACTACTATAAATATTTAAAAAACCTATTTAAGCTTTATTATAAATTGAAAAAAGAAATCTATTTATCATTGAAACTGATATGATGGCTTTATCAGTAAAAAAAACTTGTATATTGTTGGAATATTACTTAATTTTAAACTTAATTGTATTATATAGGTAATTTTATACTCTTAAATTAACATTTATTTGAAACTGATGTTTATTGTTTTCATAGAGCAATTCAAAACTATTTTCCTAACTTCGATTTGTAGTAACACATTAAAGAACTAAAATAACTAAGCCTTATATTAATAACTTAAATATGTATGTTTCAGTACTAAATAAAAGTTTTGGGACATATTTTTTTATGTTATTTGACTATTAAATACTGAAACTATTGTCCATTTCTTGTAAGGAATACTTCATCAGAGATATTTTTTTTTCCTTCTCAAAAGAAATATTCAATTAACAAAAGTTTATCTGTCTCATTTATTTAAGGTGTTATTACATTCCAAAGTGGCATAGATAATTTTACATCCCACTGTATTTTATTTCATCAATTATTCTATGTAAATGTCTGATAAGCACTTTTATAACATTTGATCTTTTTAATTTCAGGGTGGAAGTAGAATAAATACTCGTTGGAATAGCGACGAATTGCTACTAGCCGTTCAAGGTTTGGGATTTAATACTTCTAAATAATTACTGTTTATTTTTACAATGGAGGATACACACTCATTATTAAATATTAATTATAGGAATAAGAAAGTATGGAAGAGATTTCAAAGCTGTTGCTGAAGTTGTTGGAAATAAGACAGAAGCGAACATTAAAACATTTTTTGTGAATTACCGTAGGCGATTTAATTTGGATGGTGTATTACAAGAATATGATGCTGAACATGGAACATCTGCTGAAGACTCAGAAGAAAAGGTATTTTACTCTTGTGACCATTCTATTTGATGCTCAGTATAACGAGTATAGCATATTCTGAGATGTCCGCAATTACGACCAATATCCGAGTCACCATCAAAAAGTTTATTAAAGATACAAAAATTGTATATCTATGATGAGTTAAAAGTTATTAACCTTTTCACTGTTACAATAACAATGTTTTTAGGGAAATACATTTTTCCGCTATTTAAGTGAGTAATATTATACGAAAAAGGTTTAAATGGAAGGCATTTTTAGTTATTTCAGATATAAGTGCTGAAAAACAAAAAATGAAAATTGTTTGTGCCTTATAATTTTAAACCCTTATTTTTATAAAGTAGTGTTAATTTAGCTGGTTGTAGCCTCAAAAGAAAGTACTTTAAACTTTTCCAATTTTTAAGACATTCAATTCAAACTTTTTCATTTGTTTCCAAATAAAATTCACTACAAAATTAGTTTTTTTAAAAAAATTTTTTTTCTGCGTAAGCGCAGTTTGAAGGAGCTGCTTTAAATACTCATGTCTTGTGTGGTTTTTAGCGTTTTTTAAAAAAATTTTAAATCTATTAATAATTTTTAATCTATTAAATTGCTCCAAAAATTTTGTTTAATTCCATTGAATATTTTTTAAAAGTTATAGCAAAGAAATGTAAGATAAAAAAATTAGTTTTTCATAAAAATGTCCATATCTCCATAAATATTTACTCNTTTAAATACTCATGTCTTGTGTGGTTTTTAGCATTTTTTTTAAAAATTTTAAATCTATTATTTTGTAATAAGTTTTAAATTGCTCCAAAAATTTTGTTTAATTCCATTGAATATTTTTTAAAAGTTATAGCAAAGAAATGTAAGATAAAAAAATTAGTTTTTCATAAAAATGTCCATATCTCCATAAATATTTACGCTAGGTTTACAAAAAATTATGCAGTTATTAAAAGTAATATAATGATTGAAAATAACAAGTTACTAAAAATAACAGTAATCAATACAAGTTACGAGCCTTTTGTTTGGTTTTTTAGCATAGGGTGTTAAAAAAAACTTTTCTTTTGTCAGTCTCTCAAACCTCTGAAAGTCAGTCTCATCTTATTGCTAAGTATATAAAAAATCGCTTGAAATAATACCTCTATAATCTCTTTAAATATTTCTAGAGAAATTTTAAAAAATGTCAAAAACTGACCATTATTGTAGGGGTAGTTAATTGTTTATTTTTTTTAAAATTAGAATATTTAAAAATCTTAGCCTCTCTTAGTCGCAAATTTGTAAGGTATTTTTCCTGTTCATTGAATAATCAGAGAATCTTGTTTTCTGCAGCAAAGCCACCAGCTAAAAGTTTAGAAAACGGTATATAGGGTTAATATAAATTATTATTAAATAAAATCAAAAATATTATAAATGATATAAAAATTTTAATATATTATGTTACATAATATATTATTTATTATATAATATATTAATATTATAATATTTAAATTTAAAGAAGGAAATAATAGTTTAATGTTTTGTTAAAATTTCCTTTAGATTGAGACTGAGAGTGTTACTTCTGTTGGCAACAATAGCCATCCAAACTCTCCTGGTTGTCCTCCACAAACTGCTCCTCCTCTTCTACATCCACCACAGAGTCCTTCTAATACTTCAAATAATTCTGCTCAACAGAGGTCTTGTCCACCTTCACTTCAACAGGCAAATTCTACGAGGTATTGAAGGAATTCTCTTGAAAAGAAACTTAAGGTTTCAATACTTTTATTTAAGTATTTTTTTATACTTTTAGGGGAAAAGTAAATGGAAATAATCTTTCCAGCTTAGATATACTGAAGTTGATAAGTTCTTTTGATCTCTTAGTTTATATTATTTATCTTTCAAGTCCCATAGGATGCACAAATTCATACCTGCCCATTCTCCTGTTTTTTAACAAAGACTCCTGTATATGACTATCTCCTGTTAACCTGTATATTCTCAAATTTCTCCGTATTTGTTGAATTTTGCCGATTAAATATCTGCTAATGGCAAAATACTTCTCTAATTCCTCAACAAATGGTGCTATTGGCAGTAGTGCACTGTGTGGAGTGTTTATAGTTTAAGTAATTATAAATAATGGTTTAAAAAAATCTAACTAAACTAAGATTTATATACACATTTTTTACTTCGCTAAGTGCTTAAATTGTTTCCAATTTTGAATTTATTTATTATTTTTTATTGACTTACATGATTATGCATTATGTATCAAAACTTTGCTCGTAGCCTAAGAAATACTGGTACTAAAATCTCCGTTATTTTATTTCTCCGATGTTAGCAGGTATGCATATTTTTGCAGAATTACAGCCAGAAAAAGAAATTTGATTTATCTCGGGCTGTAAAAAAGTTGCTGTTAATTAAAATTGTTTCATTTATTACTGCAATAATAACAATTAATTATTGCTACGATAAGAATAATTAATTAGTTATAACATGTTTCTATTTTTTCTCTATTGCAAAATTATTTTATTTTTTTACTACATAAATTACATACATGTATCTAAATAATGTTGGATTAATATTTTTTTAAAGGAAGGTTTCTTTAATTCTTGATATTTCGAATCTGCATTTTTTAATTTATTTTCTTCGAATTTATGAAAAAATTGCAGCATTTTCTTTTGAAAATTCTGTAGTTTCTAAATTGTCTCTGGTTAAGATGTGAAGACCACTAATGAAAGTCTTCGAAATCCACAATTAAGTCCCTAGATCGTAGCAATTGAATTTTAACTTAAATGTGATATTTAGAGTTGAGATTCTTCAAGGACTTATCTCAGATTAATTTGAAGGCGAGAACTGAAACTTTAAAAATACTGTCTAATATGTTAAAGAATTTTTAGATCAAATCTGATTATCCCTTTGATATTAATTTGACGTGTGACTAATGCTACATATAATATGTGTAAGGCAGTCTATGAATAAGCCACTTATCCAAATGTGATATGTATCAAGCTGTTATGAATTGTTTCAAAATAGGTGCCTCCCTTAAATTCTTTTAGGTAACATCACAAAACATAAAAACATCTACCGTAATTTGCAAAATTATTACCATAAGATGCAATTTACATACTATCAATAAAGATATTGTAGTTTTTTCTTAAAACGCTATTTTGAACAATTTGATAATTTGGCTTATTATTATATTATTGGCCTGCCGGCCTGGTGGCCGAGCAGTTAGCGTGCCTGATTGCGAAGCTATTGGCTGCGGGTTCGAATCCCGCTCTGGGCATGGATGTTTCTCTCTCTCTTTGTGCTGTCCTCTGTTGTGTGATGTGTGAATGTGGCCGCCCTATAAACGGGTTTGTGGCGTGGGCAATGTTGCTCGCCTCCGTGACTTTGGCTCACAGGTGCCCACTGGGTAACGCGAAATGAGCAACAATTCTGGCATCTTCATAGGCAAAGATTCAAATTCTGTGCCTGCCATTGGAAAAAAAAATATTATTGGCCCATCAAGCTCTTCATAAGTTGATTGTTTGTGATTGTGAAGTTTATTATTTGCGCAGAACTTTTATTTGGGGGGGGGGGGTTTAANAAGAGTACATTGTTGTAAGCATTCAAAATGTTTTAAGTCTTTAAAAAATATAATATAAAAAAATAAGTTGCATAAATAAAATTAGGTCAGACAAATGGCAGAACTTAATTGGTTTATTTATTTTAAGTTTTCTTGCATGTCAAAGTTGGAAACTGCTTTAATAAAGTCATTCAGTATTTTGTTGCTAATTAGTATATTTATCTTTTAAAAAAACTAGAAAATATTTTTAAGTGCAGTTGTGTACTGTTTAAAAAATGACTAATATATATATAAAATAAAAAATATTATACAGAAACTGTTGTATGCAGAACTATTTTACAACAACAGAACTTTGAATTATTTTAGTTNTTAAACATCAAAATGGGTCCAGGACTTTATAAACACCCTGTATATATAAAATAAAAAATATTATACAGAAACTGTTGTATGCAGAACTATTTTACAACAACAGAACTTTGAATTATTTTAGTTTTTCTTGCATTTCAAAGTTGTAAAATATTTTTTGTTAATTATACTTATAGTATCTTTTAAAATTTTTTTAAAAATACTTATTTACATAGAAATTGGAAAATATGATGAAGTGTTATGGAATTAATTTGTTTCAGAAATAACACCGGCCGTACACTATTACAACAACCACCTCCATTAATATGCCCATCCAACACATATGTTAATGGCACAACAAAAACTACTTTGTCTGGACATGAAAACATGTAATTTTCTGAACTTGTTGGATTAGTTAACACATCTTGATAGTTGTGGATATTATTTTGTTAACATAATGCGAATCACTGTGGATGAACTGCCAGATAAAGGTGTACTACTATGAAAAAGAAAAATCACAAACTTGCTCATTAATAACTTTATTGAAATCTGAACTGTAACAGTTTAAAAAAGTATAAATATCTCATTCATTAAAAAGTCTTTGAAACCTATAGAAAAATAAGATTAACGGGATGAGATCCTCAAACCTTTGATTATTTATAAATATATATTATTTTTGTTGTATATTTATATTGTATATAAAATATTTTTCATCATTTTGTATCCAATTCTTCATATTATAGTTCCTTCAAAATATAATACTGCTTAGTGATAGTTTTTTTGTAATTACTGATAAATGAAATATCAGTGAAAAAAAATCTTTTCTCTGAATATTATATACATATTACCTAGTTATAATATAAAAATTCATTTGATCTCTTTAGCCTATTATATGTGAAATTTCAAAATTAAATCAATAAAGTTGAAATATTTCATATTACATCATAAACATTTTTTTATATGAGTTATCAAAATTGAAAAAATTTATTAATGAAGTTATATAATTAATAAAACACTTTTTTTAGTTTTTTGTTGTACATCTTGTGACCATTTTAATAAATTTTTCTTTTAAATCTTATGCAAATGTTATGTTGATAATGCTTAAATTTTATTGACGGATTAAAGATTTTAGAAATATAAGTTTTCTCAAATATTTACTTAAAAAAAGTTATTAAAAAAACCATTATTAATTTCAACTGTATATGATTGTATTTATGGTTTTATAACTATACACTCTAAAATATAATAATGAGACTTTAATTAGAAAAGAAAAGTCTCATTATTTCTTCACTAAATACACTATTCACAAACAAATGAATGAATGTTTTGAAACAATTATAAATAATGTTGAAGATGAATAAGAATTAGTCATTTAGGCTGTTAGTCTAACTGTGGAAGTTTCTATGAAAGTCAAATTCCATTCAACTTTTCATAGATATAAACAGTATTTTTAAGGGTATTTATTTCTTTTTCATTGCAAAAAGACTTCTTCTTTTTTGTTCATCTTTCCTTTCTTCCCTGCGCAAGGGTAAGGTTTGAGAATAGCCTGGGCCTCCAGGAATACCTTCTGAAGATACTTGTTGGAGTTGAGAAATCCATTTAATCATCTCTTCCTGTTAGAAAAAAAATTAGTTATGGAAGTTAAGGCTGATTAAAAAAAGATTTTTCTTTTGTTTTTTAAAAAGGTGAGTTTTCAATACAAATTTCAATTAAAAATGTTAATTTTTGAATTTTATGTAACAAACTATTGCTGTAAAGCAGTTTGTAACCTAAAAATTATTCTAATATGTCTTATTTTATTAAAAAATGTGAAATTTATGTCAGGAGTTATAATTTTTAGAATCCTGTTTAAAAAATGACGTAAATAAGTATAACATCAGGATCACTAATTAATATGCAACTGAAAAAAACAAAACAACTTATTTGATGAAGTTTAGAGGTCTATCTAATGACCCCCTTTCATTAGAAAAAAAAAATTAGTTATGGAAGTTAGGGCTGATTAAAAAAAGATTTTTCTTTTGTTTTTTAAAAAGGTGAGTTCTAAATACAAATTTCAATTAAAAATGCTAATTTTTGAATTTTATGTAACAAACTATTGCTGTAAAACAGTTTGTAACCTAAAATTATTCTAATATGTCTTATTTTATTGAAAAAATGTGACATTTCTGTCAGGAATTATAATTTTTAGAATCCTGTTTAAAAAATGACGTAAATAAGTATAACATTAGGATCACTAATTAATATGCAACTGAAAAAAAAAACTTATTTGATGAAGTTTAGAGGTCTATCTAATGATCCCCTTTCAATTCTCCATTTCCTGTGGCAATAAAACAGGTTTTGATGTTTGCAGTCAAATCTTCCATATTAGTAATTTGTCAGATTTGGATATTTTTTTCTCACTTAATATTTTGAAATTTCTACTTTTTTCACAACGATTCTATAAATTTGCATTAATGATAGACTAAGGAACACCCTTACAACTTTTAGTAAAACCTTAGAATTTATATTTATTTGCTTAATTTATTATATGTATTCTGTAAATCAATTTCGTAGTTTTTGACAATTAGTTTGCAAAATTGTTATGTCTACTTTGCATTTCTTGATGATAGTATTAAAATTTTAATATTTAAATGTATACATACATACTAGTTGTCTGCAATCTAGTTGCAGGTAATTTTAAAATAAAATTTTGCAATCGATCTTCAAGTTGTTAGCAATTCTGGACTGAGTTAAAATTATGTTCGAAGATTGAGTGTCAAGTTGTTTCTTTAAAAAATTTCAAATTCTATTTTGTTAACATTTTTTATGGTGTACAGTGCATGAAGAAAAAATCATTCTGAATACCTTTTGATCTAATGATCGAGTTTTCACATACTGGGACTCAATCTGAAAGGTTTGAGAGTCGTTATTTTATGTTATGAAATCAGGCATCAAAACTTATTTTATTTTAATAAACATACCTTTTTCTTAAAAAATGATTCAGATTCTTGACCTCCAAAATATCAAAAGAGCAGCCGAAAATTTGGACCTTAATTTTACTCTGTGTATTTTGCCATATCTCAAGAACTTTGCAAGCAAATTAAAAAAGATTTTAACAAAATAGGTCCAATAGTTCCTGAGAAAACAAATTTTGTCATTTTCCATCTAAAATTATATACTTTAAAATGATAAAAATTTGTATACCTTACAATTCAAAATTTTCCGACTTAATAAATATTGTAAGGAAATTATTTAAATGAAATTTGTATGAATCCTTAGATAAACAAAGTTTATAACTGTGTTAAAAATTTTCAATTTTCTAAAAAAATTCTCAAAGTATGATGAAAAACGCAAGAAGTCAAATTAACATTTATGGGACCAAACTTTGGACTACCCTCCTGATCAAACTATTGTGACCATATTTTCTAGATTGTTGCTAAACCTCATCATAATCTGTTGCAGAAAAAGTATGTTTATTCAGAGAAAGAATTTTTTTTGTGTTTTTGTAACTTAAAATATCATCCACATTACCTAATTAGTCTATTTGCGACCACCCCCATGAACCATTCAGTCCTAATACATGAAAATCTGATCATTAGATAGAAAGTTTTTCAAGTTTTTTTTTTTTTTTGCACTACTGTACATTAAATGTTATTAAGAAATTTAATGGTGAATGCTGCTGATTAAACTACCATGTTTTGTTTATAGCAAAAGTTTCTAAACTGTGACTTTAAATTTTTTTTTATTGTATTCGTTTACATTTAAAAACAAAACAAAGTTCTACACTTAAAATTTTGTTTGATTTGCTTTTTTATACATATTACATATCTGGCAACTTTAACAGGTTTTCTGCAAAATTTTAAGTGATATTAACCTAATTAATTTATGAAAGCAAAATTACTAAATTATAAAAGCAAATTAATTCATAAAAGCATATTTATATCTATAAATATAAAATAAATGATTTATTTATAAAAGCAAATTTTATGCTTTTATAAATATAATTTAAGATGATTTTCACCTCTATATATAAATTAATTAGACATATATATGAATGTATGATAATCATATGAAATCTTAAAGCTCTGGCAAAAAAAAAAATTATTCTCATTTTGACTTGGGAAATTCATCTTTAGAAAGATTAAAATTTAACAAGTATGACATGACGTTTTTTTTTTTAACAAAAAATTTCAAGTTATTTTTTTGCTCTTGATGTATAATATGAATGAAAACTATATAAATGAAAACTATATAAATGATTGAAAATGAACAAAATACAGTGAAACTTCCAGGAAAGACCACCTCTTTTTAACGACCTCCTCTATTTGGGGAGGCATGGAATTTTTTCTTTCCATTAACTTTGTGTTGAAGAAAACTTCTCCTAAGCTCCGATAATCCTTCCCACCATATGCGGAAAAAGTTAATTTGGGAAATACAAAAAAATATTAAAAAACAGATAAGTAGATTACAATGTTTATTTAGATGTTTACTATGTTCAATGTGTGTTAGATATGTTTACTCTTATATAGGGAGCTCTTTTTGATGATCTGTGAAAGAGATATACAACTTCATGTAGCAATCAGAGTGCACTAAACACAATGCTACCAATGATTTATTTTTAGAGTTGAAAATTAAATTAGAAAAAAAAAAAGAATTATTTTAGAAAAAAACTAAGCATCTCAAACAAACTTTAAAGTAAACTAATTTTTATGATATAAAATTAAATGCAAACTTAAACGTAATTGTTTATTTCTTTAAAATATTTCTGTCTTTCATATAATTGGTAAATTTGTTTTTATACACAATTATATCAGTAGGGATAAATTTTATTGACGTTGAATTTTATTCATCGATCCAGTTTTCATGACTCCACATTTCAGCATTAAGAAAATGACACTGACTAAAATCAAAATCACTTGGAAAAAAATATACACTTTCATTTTGAAGTTAATGGAAGCAACTCCAAAAAATGACCAACCCCAATAAACAACCATTTTACTGCGATACAGAGAGTGGTCACTCCCGAGAGGTTTTACTGTATGGGCTTTTGTAATGTTAGACTACAATAGAAATTTATGAAAATATTTTTTTACCAATTCATCATGATTCTTATTTGTTTGTATTTAATTATTTTTCATGATTCTTTTTCTTGAATTTTGTATGTGTAACTCTAGGGCAGGGTTTATTTATTTATTTTTGCTCATGTTTTGGTGTTTCAGGACTTAAGTACTTATTAATCACTTACGCTATATTAGTATTTCAGTCTAGAGTTAGGAAGTAGTTGATAGTACAAAGTAGCACACAAATTTTGAAAGAAAAAAAAGACTATTTTTTTTTTATTGACTCTTTCCACAGATGGAAAATGTGATAATTTATAGCTTCCATTGTTATATAGTGTGTTTAGAGGCAGTTCTAAACTTTTTGTTTACCTTTTTCTCCCTGGCAAGCTGCCAGCATTAAAAAAATTATGACTTTTGAAACTATGTTTTTTTTTTTTTTTAATTCATTTTGTTTCCTTATATTTCTTGTTAGATTGCCAACTAAAAATTAAAAGTAAGAATTGTGGTTAAATGGCACGCTTTCTTCTCAGTTTATGTATATCCAATCAAGTTAGAAGGAATAAAAATTTCACTTAGAAAATCTTGAATTTAGTTATATTTTTATGAGTAAAATAATTTGACTCGATAGTTTGTAAATGTGTATTTGGAATTTTAAAATTCTGATGAAAACATGAGTAAAAATATTTGGATGACTTGAAATTTTCATTATTATATTATTATTATGATTGTTTATTTATTTATATTAGCTTAGAATTGATTTTGTAAAGAATGCTGTTTATTTGTTTTTGTCTATTAAAGTATATCTAAAATTAAAAAAAAAATTTTTTTTTTTGTTTGAAAAAATAAATTTTTTTTTCACGGAATGTGTTGAGTGTATTATTTAAAAATGCAATTTTTACCTCATCCTTTGCCTGGAAAAGATCTTCACCTCCTCCCATCAACCTAAAATAATACAAGATTATACTAGTTTCCTTCCACTAATAAATTCCACAAAAATTATAATTAATTCAAACTCAGTGATTAAGGCACTGAATTGTCATTATGAAGAACTGGAGTTCAATCCCCAGTGGCAGCTTAAAGCCCACCCAGTTCCAGAGAAATAGGTACCAGTTAGTCTGTTAAGTAAAGACAGTGGGTATGCAATGCTCACCACATTGTTGCTCACGAAATTTCAAAGCCTTAACCTTTATGGCTCCCCTGACCCACAATGGGCTGTTTCAGGAGTGCCCTACTTTATTATAATTAATTCAATGATGCTGTTCTTAATTATCTAAATAATCTTTATTGCATACAAAACATAGGGAATTTCACAAAATTGTTAAAATTCTTTCTTAATTTAATGCACTCATTCATTTGAATAGAACATGAATGACTAAGTTTAGATCACTATTTACAGTTATTTACGCATAATTAATTAAACATTTGTTTGGCATGTAACTTCCAGCTACTAAAAAACCTAACTACCTATCTTTTAGTTTTAATATAAATCTAAACCGCTAAAATTTTTTTTGAATTAACTTAAGGCCATGATTACTTACCACTATTTTTAATAAATTTTAAATGTCGATGGGAAGCTATTTTTCATTTGTGCATCAATCTGCCGATAACTTCACTAAATACTTAAAAATTAAAAAATGTGGGTAACAGTAAAGGTCAGCATAAGGTCACTGACGAGCTATTTTCTCTTATGCGTTCGTTCACATGCCAATTTCAATTTCTAATCTAGTTTATTGGAGGTATAAACAGAGAATTTCTAAATTCGGTTATTTCATCATCAGCATTGGCACGACAGCACTTCGTGAGCCTGGGCATCATTCTGCCCTTCTCCCAGCAATTGATTTCCAGTTCTTTACTTTTAGGATGGCAAAATCCTCATCCACACAGTCTTTCCATCTCTTTTTGGGCCTTCCTCTTGGCCTTTTATTGGAGGAAGTTGCATTAAAGACTTAATGCTGTTCGTTCTCGGCTCATCTCATTCTACTTAGTTTAATAGATTTAATGATATCACTATTAAAGAGCTTATATATTTCAAAATTATATATTTTTCTCCAGTTGTTGTTATCGAGGATAGCACCACAGATAGTTCGTAGAACCTTCCTAATTCGGTTATTTATAAGCATAAAAGTTCGAGTTTGTGGTCAATTCTTTACAGTGTGTAAGATTTTGAAAAATCTCACCCACCTTTCCTACTAAAAATAAAAGAATCAAGTTAATTTTAGGTAATGACTTAAAAGATTTTATTTTTTATAAATCAATCTCAATCCGAAAAATATTTTAACATAGCATTAAAAAATTTCCCTATGAAGACGAAAAAAAAAAAAAAAACTTATATTAATTTTGAGTTCTATTTAGCAAACTGGTTTTAATCTTCACAAAAACTTCTACTTTCATAGAGTATAGACTGGTAAATATTTTGTAATTTAGTTAACGGATGTTTAAATAAATCTGTCATTAATATTGTTAACTTACCTTAGCCGGAACACGTGTCTTCGTTTTGTGTAATCAGTTGCAACCTCAGTTGTACTTCCTCTTAAATCTACAGGGGATTCTCCATGATGATAATTTTCAGGTTCCTTAAAAAAAATTAAAAATATTTTTGTGATGTAGTTCATTTACGTCGCACTAGAGCTGCACAATGGGCTATTTGCGACGGTCTGGGAAACATCCCTGAGGATGATCCGAAGACATGCCATCACAATTTTGATCCTCTGCAGAGGGGGTGCCCCCCCCCGCTTTGGCAGCCCAACGACCTGCACGCGAAGTCGAGCACTTTACGGTAGAACAGTTTAACGAGGACCCATACCTCACACCCTCGGTCCCTACGCAGACTGATCCAAGTGGTCACCCACCCGCACACTGACCGCAGCCAGTGATGCTTGACTTCGGTGATCTGCTGGGAGCCGTGTCTTAACGATCAGTCCACTGCGGGACTAAAAATATTTTTATAATTTGCGAAATTAAGGTAGTAGTAATACTTTATGTACATCGCTCTAAAGCTGCATAATGGGCTTTTGGCGACGAGTGGGAAACATCCTTGAAGGTGATCCGAAGACTACCATCACAATTTCAATCCATTGCAGAGGTGATTTGCGATATAAGTTTAATGATATGAAAAGTTTTAAGTTACACACGAGGCAGTTAAATTTGTCTAATATTCAAAGTCTTCCTGGTTTTACTAATGACTTCCTGGTTTACTGAGTTTTCTTCAAAAGTAAAGTTTGGAAGCATTTGTAGAAATCGTAAATAACAAATATTTTTTTTTTTAACAGCCGGCACTGGACTTGTCGTTTTTCGCTATGGAAGGTGCCGGAAGTGTTGCTCATTTTGTGTTGTCCGGTGAGCACCTTGTGACGAAAGTCACACTGCCACGGATACCCGTTCATAGGATGGGCTCATTCACAATCGCACACAACAAAGGACAACCAACACCTCCTAGAAGAAGGAAGGCCTCAGCACGGATCAATTTAGTAGTCCGATGTGACGAAGTTAACTGCGCAGTTGATGAAAAATAAGAAAGATGTCATTACGTTCGGGGTACTAAGCTGCGCAGTGGTTGAAAATACGAAATATGTCATTACGTTTGGACTACTAAAGGATATTTATGGTAACCCGTGCTGAGGCCTNGGGCTATTGGCGACGGTCTGGGAAACATCCCTGCGGATGATCCGAAGACATGCCATCACAATTTTGATCCTCTGCAGAGGGGGTGGCGGTAGCCCAACGACCTGCACGCGACGTCGAGCACTTTACGGTAGAACAGTTTAACCCATACCTCACACCCTCGGTCCCTACGCAGACTGATCCAAGTGGTCACCCACCCGCACACTGACCGCAGCCAGTCTTGACTTCGGTGATCTGCTGGGAACCGTGTCTTAGCAATCAGTCTACTGCAAGACTAAAAATATTTTTATAATTTGCGACATTAAGGTAGTAGTAATACTTTATGTACATCGCTCTAAAGCTGCATAATGGGCTTTTGGTGACTGTCTGGGAAACATCCCTGAAGATGATCCGAAGACTACCATCACAATTTCAATCCCTTGCAGAGGTGATTTGCGATATCAGTTTAATGATATGAAAAGTTTTAAGTTACACACGAGGCAGTTTAATTTGTCTACTATTCAAAGTCTTCCTGGTTTTACTAATGATTTCCTGGTTTACTGAGTTTTCTTCAAAAGTAAAATTTGGAAGCATTTGTAGAAATCGTAAATAACTAAGATTTTTTTTTTTTTAACGGCCGGCACTGGACTTGTCGTTTTTTGCTATGAAAGGTGCCGGAAGTGTTGCTCATTTTGTGTTGTCCTGTGAGCACCTTGCGACCAAAGTCACACTGCCACGGATACCCGTTCATAGGGTGGGTTCATTCACAATCGCACACAACACGGCGAGAAACATCCCCGCCATGAGCGGGATTCGAACCCTCAGTCAGGCACGCTAACCGCTCGGCCATCTGGCCAGCATAACAAAGGATGTAAAACTATCTCCATTCAAAGTGAAAATAACGCCTCAACAATTAAGAATGTAGGCGAAGGGGATAAAATTAGTAAGTAAGCTTATAATGAATTTAATTTTCATAAATAAAAACTGTTGAATATTTGCTCTACTTTAGACTGTATTGATAATTGTACGAGGTCTCCACTCAATCAAAATGGGAGATACGGATTTTTCGTGCCAAAATTACGCCCATACAATTTTGTAATCATTATTTTCAAAATATAATTTAATATTCTGGGAACTATCTTTATCAGTCTGTTTTTAAATATTTTAGAAAATATCAATTTTTGTATAATTTATGTTAAAAGAATTTTTTTGGTATCATTCAAATCTATTCTCGTCGTAGGGAGAGGGAACAACACAAAAGAAATCACACGAATATTCAATAACTAAAATATAGGAGTTATAATATTCAATGAACCAGTTACCGGTGATGTTTCTATAAGATGTTCACAAATTAATTAATCGGATACTAATTAACCAAATATTTATTAAACAGATACTTTTAGTATATATATATTTATTTCTGTTCTTCAATGTGCTTCTTGCAAGCCACAACCTTTCATAGGATAGTTCAGTATCGAAAATAAAAAAATTCTAAAATAATTGTTCTTTTTTTTTAAATGAAAAAAATTATAAGAGCATTTTGTTATCTCGTTTCCGAAGATAAAGTCGAAAAATTGTTATCAATGTAATAAAATGCTACCATTTGAGTTTTCCTTAAATTGTAAAACTTCACCGCATAATGAAATATCCTGATGGTCCAATATGCTACTATCTGAGTCCACGATTTCAAAAAGTGCAATTCGTTGGAAATAAATCCAGTTCACCTGCATAACTTTTGATTTTATGATTGAACTAGTTAGGTAACGTGATGCAGTCTTACAGGTTCGAGGACATACCTTCTATTCAAAATGGCCACAATATTAACAATCCACAAATGGCCTACAATCCCTTTATTAGTTATTGTATATTTTGCCATATCTCTGGATTTGCTCAAGCAAATTAAAAAATTTCATTTACAACAATAAAACTTGTTAAACCAAATATAATTCTGAAATTTTCACGATTATTTATTTTCTAATTTAATATGATCAAATATTTTTTTAATTGTATAATAGATGCATTTATTATAATATTTTCATATTTTGAAGCTTATTTTGAATTACTAATAATTCCAAAATTATTTGCAAGAAATGAAAATTTATAATACAATCTTTTTAAAATTTTATAACTACTCATAAACTATTTGACTGATTTCGAGCACTTACTTTAATGCATTTAATTACATTTAATGCATAAAATTGTTTAACACTGTCTCTCGAAGCTCTATCGGCAACGAAAATAAAATAGCCGTAGTTTAAGTGCCTTACATTCGAAGCAATGTGATATTGCTAAACTATATATATTTATATAATCTGGCCGTGAAGAATTATCCGGGCTTTAGAACAGACAAGAAATGAATTAATTTCTTGCAAATTATTTGCAGGAAATGAAAATTTATAATACAATCTTCTTAAAATTTTATAACTACTCAGAAACTATTTGACTGATTTCGAGCACTTACTTTAATGCATTTAATTACATTTAATGCATAAAATTGTTTAACACTGTCTCTCGAAGCTCTATCGGCAACGAAAATACAATAGCCATAGTTTAAGTGCCTTACATTCGAAGCAATGTGATATTGCTAAACTATATATATTTATATAATCTGGCCGTGAAGAATTA